CTTTCCTTTTTGTCTTAGTGTTTAAAATATTTATTTTGAAACTAATTAATTAATTAATTTCTTAATTAAACAAACAAACAGACTTACTGGGTGAGCAGGGTAGGCTATGACCCAGGAGAATATAATTTATATCTACACAGAAGAAAGCCCTGTCTAGACTCTGCCCCAGTATGAGTTGTGTTGAGCTATTCATAAGCCTGTTTGTTTGATGAAAAAAGATTAAATGTAGTTGCAATAAATGCTTAAGAATCCATACAACTGCAGCAGTGGAGGACTATTATTCTGCTGCGTGATACTGCGGAAGAACTGATGATGGCATGGTTTGATCTTCGGCTGACCAATCAGCAGAAAGGGGCGTTTAAATCCCGCCCACGTGTAAAAATCGAATATTCAAGCTGTTTATTCATTTTTCCACCCATGAACGAAAAACGAAAATTTAAGCTGAATTCTCCTTTTTTTGGAAAAAATTTAAAAAACGAAAAAGGAGCCGTTTTCTTATTTTTCTACTTTCAATATTAAATTAAAAAACGAATGATCCACGGATTCATCTGCCACCCTGCTTTCAAAGATATTAGTAACAGCCTTCAAAAAAAATAAAAACCACATCAGTCAACCACTGTGTGTAACATCTAACAATTAATCTAAATAGCCAAATACTTACTTGTATGGGTTGAAAGGACACATAGTACATATTTTGAACCACTCCCAAGAAACTATGACTGTATCCCATGAAGGCCCCAGCCAGGAGAAGAAAGAGATGATACTCATTCAGACAGGTCACTACTTCACCACTACAGAAGCAAACATAAAATATGGGACAGTTATTTTTCACATATTGTTAGAAATTGCATTAAGCAACAATAGCATGTCAATAAAAACCAAACAAAGACAGAGACTGCATTTCATCTGTATTTTAGAGGTGCACTTGTCCTATATAACGGTAAGACTGACCTTCTGGTCATTTTAAGATAAGATTACTCACAGAGTTAATTAAAACAACTTAAGATAACTGTATGAGTGTCAATCTCTTGGCCTGGGGTCGAATGAACCACAGTGCCTGGAATACAATTATTGAAACCCGATCCTCTGAGAACGTCGACGGATCAGCGTATGTGGGACAAACAGAATCAGGTCATAACCCACCTCTCACTTTGCCTGCAGGGAATTCCCAGAGTGCTGTAACGTCCCCCGATGGTAACAGAAGCACACCACATTACCAGCATGCCCATGGTGCAGTAGACCAAAGAATGGACACATTGTCGTGGGTGAAGCACCGTCCCCAGGAGAGCCATGCGTGAACATGGAATGGAGGGAACCACTTAATGAAACACAAAGAGTGAAATAAACAAATATTCAGCATAACCTGTAATGCAATGCAATAATTGCAAATTAAATGATTTTGCACATCCATAAAAGATCAATCTAGTTTACTCACAAGTGTAAAACTCCAGGTTGAAAAGGCCAGTGATCAGAACCACCCCACACAGCACCACAAGGGAAAAGATGGTGCTTGAGGCCGTCAGAAGACTTGTGCATTCTGAAAGCAATGTTTGAAATGCTGACTAATGTGCAATTCACATATCCATATATATCATATTTGATACGTGAATTTCTAAGGCCTCTAAATTACAATCAACATGATCAAAACTTTGCTGGGAAAAATGTTGCTGATTGATAGCATGTCATGATGTAACATTTCATCTGATTGATAGTTTATATTTTTTAGCAAGTAAAATCCAAAAAAAATGTCCCTCTTCAGTTTGTGGTACAGATGTTTATTTGTTGTGAAGTTTTAACCGGTTTATTTAAAGTGAACATAAGCACTTTTGTATTGTTGGTAATATTTCAAGATGAAAATTTTCCGGATTGAACTGACTTTGGTTTACTTGATTATTCATGCATTATATTTAATAAACACACGTTAAATGTATCAAATATGATACATCAGGCTTTTGAGGAACATTTATTTGTACATCTCTGTCATTACTGTATTGCATATGTTTTACACACTTCAATAAAAAATACAGAGCTCTGATAATAAAACTAAGCATTCAAATATCATTAAGACATATTACTGGTTTACAGAGTGACAGCTGATATTTATATGCATTTTATGTATGTAGTCTGGTATAAAGATCTCTTTGATTTACATTACAAGCTATAATAAATTCATCATACTATGGATCATAGAGTTCTGATTAATCAGATATTATACAAAACATGAAACACATTTTTTTATATCATCTAAAGGAATCAATAAATCGTTTCTTTAAAAGAATAATACAACTGATTTCTTACTATTACTTCATAAATCAGGGTTTAGCACAGTATGTATATTATGTCCCTTAAGGTCAGAACTACTGCTTATATAAATAATCCATTCACACCCGAGCACGTCTCAGTATCAGTAACTTGTTGTAATTATGCATTTAGTTAGACACTCGCACGCGTTTCCTCACCTGAAATCCACTGGATGGGGTGAAACAAGCTGAATCTACTCAAGAGCACAAAGACTGCAGCTGTCACGGGCAAGAGAAGCACTGACCATGCAATTAATAAAACTAAGCATTCAAATATCATTAAGACATATTACTGGTTTACAGAGTGACAGCTGATATTTATATGCATTTTATGTATGTAGTCTGGTATAAAGATCTCTTTGATTTACATTACAAGCTATAATAAATTCATCATACTATGGATCATAGAGTTCTGATTAATCAAATATTATACAAAACATGAAACATTTTTTTATATCATCTAAAGGATCAATAAATCGTTTCTTTAAAAGAATAATACAACTGATTTCTTACTATTACTTCATAAATCAGGGTTTAGCACAGTATGTATATTATGTCCCTTAAGGTCAGAACTACTGCTTATATAAATAATCCATTCACACCCGAGCACGTCTCAGTATCAGTAACTTGTTGTAATTATGCATTTAGTTAAGACACTCGCACGCGTTTCCTCACCTGAAATCCACTGGATGGGGTGAAACAAGCTGAATCTACTCAAGAGCACAAAGACTGCAGCTGTCACGGGCAAGAGAAGCACTGACCATGCAATGCTCGCCACCGCCCTCCATACCACAACCTGAAAATAAACGGGATGTCAGTTCATCAATCGTCAAGCTTAAGTTGCCCGCTTTTTCAACAAGTGAATTGCACTCGCGCTCCTTCTCGTGCAGGTCGTTGATTATATCCTTGGTGGTTTTACCGTGAAATTTAGGACTGGCCTCTAAACCAATTTCAGCCCGCAGGACCTTCACTTGTTTCCGCAGCTCCTTGTTGTCCAAAGTCAATTGCTTTAATTTCTGTTTAAGCGCTTCGGTTGATCTCATTCGAGACTCGTATTGTCTCATTTTCTCCCTCATCGTATTCTCACGGTGCAAAGCATCGTCTCTTTCCTTCCGGCACTTTTCCAAAAGCTTTAAAGTTTCGTATTTGGACACCTTTTCCACTTTCCCAGCCATCATTCATCTGCAGTCTTCAATGCAATGTTGAAAAGACATGTTCTTTTATACAGCTCGTCGGGTCAAATCCTCTTTATAAATACTTTTTCCATTTGCAGGTCATTAAAATAGCAATGTCAGGAGATACCTGTGAATGCAGTGATCCAAAAATCAAGCCTTCTTATTTTTGATCCACTGTGTAAAGGGAAACGGTGACTTGTGAAGCTGACATTCCTTCACAAAGTTATAGGTTTGGGAGGCAGCTTGAGTGTAACTCTAAGCTAAGGCTAGAATGACCATTAATTAGGACACAACACACATTGGCACAGTTTCAAGTGACACAAATTTTCTATTTGTTAATTTGGAAAATGTAGCCGAGCCATTTCATAACACCAGCGCCAACTTAAAAAAAAAAAAATTGATCTAATTAATCTATTGACTGTGATGAAGAAAGGTTAAAAGTGCACTGCTGATGGTGTTCGGAGATATACGAAACTTTGCACTGTATCAGGTACTGACATTAAAGACAAGATAGATTTAATCTATGACAATAACCTTTGTTTGTGAATCTTGATGATGCCGAGAATGAAATTCTATGATCTGCTTTAAAACCACTTGGCTATCGGTATCATCATCAATCACGGAGACATAAATGGGAAAAAATTAAAATTAAAATAAAAATTTACGCTCAGCATCTGCTCACACTTTTGGTCTGTATTTGTGTGCATGTAATTTTAAATGGGGAAAAAAGACCTGCTAAATATTTATTACAATGTGACATCTTGGAATACAATTAACTGTTCTAGGCATGTATATCTACAAGTATCTTGTTTAAAGAAAAGGTACAGATCTATTTACAAATCTCTCAAAAATATAGTGTAAAAATAATATTGAAAAAAAAAAATCAATGGCCGCCACCACAGATAACTGAAAATTTGTCAAATATTTCATTAAACTCTAGCTTCGATTTCCAACTTTATTAAAAATGAAAAATGTAATCAGTTTCTGTGTGTATGTGCAATTCAGCAAACAATTTTATTTTATTTTTTCCAGCCCTTTTTTCTGCTGTCACTGTAATTTTATAAAGTGTTAAAACATTTTTTGTGCATGTAGACATTTCCAAAGTGGTAGAAACAGGAGAGTGACCCTTTGAAAACCATCTCAAGCTCAATTATCAAATGAATATTTAAAGCACAGCTACACAGTATATACATGTCCTCTACTTTGTAACAGTAACATGTGTCTGAACCTCGAATCAGAAAACATCAAACATGTTGTCGATGATTATCTCGAGGTTTCGCTGCTCACCTACAATCATAAACATACCGAAATAAAGGCTTTAACTTCACAGACTATAAGATGAAGAAATCCAGACAGCCTACAATCTCATTATCAAGATACTTGATTCTCTCTAATAAGGCAAGAGGAGAAGCTGCAATTACAGAAGAATAACAGTCTCTCGAGGAGCACAGATTATGTACAGGAAGTCTTGTCTCATGTTAACATCTCGTCAAATGCAAATGTCTTATTTTCCCATCAGCAACTACAATCAAATGACACTTGGCTCATCTAAAAGTGCTGGCATTTCTATGCCATTTCAACATTATTAAAACTGTGCAGCAGTCAAAGCATGTGAGAGAGTGCCACCTCACTGAACTCCTGTGTTTGTTTACCCAAGGCTGTAATTCAGTTTGCCTTTGTGGATGAAGTGTTGGTCGCCGTCAATGGCTCATTGTGAACCTTTGATGAATCCATCTCATATGTACTGAAGAAACATGTCTGAAAAAAAGAGAGACGGCACAAATCTTTCAGACTCTGACAGCACTTTTGTCCCCTAAACACTGCATTCCCTAATTAAATGAATGTAATTGATGGCACATGATAGCCATAAGGATTTGGTTCTGTTCACAAACTGGCATGTTTCCAAGCCAGTCATTGACTACTGCTAGTGTTTCCACGAACGCACCCCTCCACTGGGGAAACACATTTGACACCAACCTGTTTGATCCTTTAACGCTGCAAGAAGCAGTGCCGAAATGCTGACAATGAGTTGCTAGTTCAGTTACAAAACTTCACTGTTATAAAATTTAGTGTTTTTGCAACAGAAGCAAAAAAGATGCATTTTAGTCAAAGTTTCAGCTAATATGTTTCTCTTGTATTGTTTTAATGAGTCCATAATCATATGCATACATGTTAGAGATGCAATATTACAATACAGATAAGCCAGAAATTGTTAAAATGCTATACTATATTGTCTAAATAAATTAAATATAAAATACTAAATTTTAAATGCTACCAATCTAAGCATAACAATATTATAATGTACAGTATGAAAAATGTATATTCATTTTGACATTTAACAGTGTGTTATTTTATTATTAATTTAAAAAAAATCGTAAGTGTGTATTAGGTGCCAGCAAAACTAATCTAAATGTAAAAATAAGGAAACATGAGCAGGCAATACAATTAAATATCCAATATTGTCAGATAAATAAAAAATGGACTGATACTGATGAACTAATTCAGTGATATAACTAGTAACAAATGTTACCAATATATTGTGCATCCTGAATATGTATTGTGTATTCTGTTCATAATAGATAATGCGAATCACATTAATTTATAACGTATAAAGATTCTTAAAAACATACCTTGCAACCAACTGCAAGTAGGACGTGAAGCATCACGATGGTGGATATAATCGCAATGGAAATCCTTGGTTTATCGTCCCTGATGGCTGGCCAGAATGTCATTACCAGCACAGATCCTGAGAGACACAAAGCTACCACGATGGAGCACCACCTCAACCCTTCACTTGGTATTATCCACAATATCTGTTTTTCACACGAATGCACACAAACAGGTAAATAAACTGTATCCTCAAAATAATAATAGAGAATGATTGAAAACAAACTATCAAATGTGTTTATCACACACAGATGTGGTAATTATGCTCAGATAAATGCACTTTATATTAATGCATATATTATGACTGTATATGACTCACCACTGCAGGGATGTAGATGGAGAGAGAGTAACCATAGACACAGACTATCTGCATGAAGGAGTAGGACACCAGGCTTGTGATTTTCCTATTTCGCCAGGTGAGAAAACCCCATAGAGCTAAAGGCACTAACCATGCATAGCTGTATATTGCTGTGGCTGCCATAGTTACTGGAAAACAATCAAGAGAACTAGTGTCATTTTTAGGGTGAGGCCAGAGAGTCTACTTTGTTTGGGTCATTTAGGGTTATTGTTTTTTTGTGGTATTCAGAGCATTCTACTACTTTTCAAAAGTTTGGTGTTTTTTTTCCCCCTGAAAGAAATTAATGAATTAAAAGACTAATTAAATGTTATTAATTGTGACAATAAAGACATGTATAAGTTTGTTGCTTTTTTGTAACATTAAAAACTCAAGGTTATTTCAAACAACATATCTCTAACCTTTCCTGAAGTCTGGCACATATTTGTACTTTGGCTGACCGTAGTTCGCAAGAAAACTGGAGATGTTTCCACTAATAGCGATGGCAAAAATAAGAGTGGCACAGATCCAGAAAGGTCCTACAAAAACAACATATAGGGCTGCACGATAAATCGAAATGGAATCGATATCGCGATTCGACAGAAGCTGCGATTGTCATGCGTATCTTTCAGTGAAGCACGGTTCTGTGATCAGCAGTAAATCTCCATCCAAAGGCCAGAGGGTGCTCTCGCGCTGAAACTTCAAATACGCCTTGCAGACGAAACCCAGAAAATACCTATAGCTGCAGCTGAATAAACAGAAGATTCATCTGCTTTCATTGATTCAACGTGACTAATAGACACACGACTACGGCAATATACGGTTTATCTCGAGTTCTTATTATTATAATTTTCATTAAAATAAAGTATATTTATAATGCAATGCCTTTATCACTGCTTACATACTATGAAATATGTTGCGTCCCTTATTCTGTGTAAGAAGCCACATCATCTCACAGAAGGATTTATTTCAAACACTCGACTGACGTTATGAAGTGAGTTTGGAGTAAAAATATGTTATTAAATGTGGTATTTTCATATGCTTTCAAATGGAGCAGCATTTCCTTCACAGAGCCGTAGTTCACTGAGAAGCTATGCAAACAGCTGTCGATTTTTTGGCGTAACTTGTCAGTGAACAACGGCTATGTGTAGTAAATTCAGCTCCATCTGAAAGCACGTGATGATTTTCTGCTGATTACAGAACCGACATAACTATCAAAATGCACATAATCACTTTCGATTAATCATGCAGCCCTAACAACATATTCATATAAACCTTCTATAAACTTGTTTTTTGCTCTAAGCAATTTTTGTTTAATTTAGCTTACCATACAGGTCAGGTTTACTCCGTAAATAGACCTCAGCAAAGTTTTTCCCAGGCCAAGGCAGAATAGAACCAACTATTCTGTTCTTTACCTATAAATGAACAAACAGAAGTTATTTCTTGTCTTGACAGCATATTGCTGCCATCTTTTCAATCACTTCACAAAACAATCATTCATGTGCAAGAGTAGCACTATATTTAAACAACTAAAATGAGAAAACAGCAACAAAGCATCTCTTACTTATAAAAAAGGACTAGAAAACCCTTAAAAACACAATGAATGCTTTTTAACTCTTTGAAATGATAACAACCACTGTGGTGTGAGTGCTGAATCCTACAGTAAAGACGACTGACCTGATGACTGTCCACGTCAAATAATGTTTGGTAGTACTCAAACGTCCAGAAGGGCGCACTCTTTTTTTGACCTGACAGAAGCTGTTTGACAAAGGAACATGTATGTTGAATCAATGCTCCTTTTGAAGAAATGAAGATCTCAGATTATCGTGATCGGGTCCCACTGACCTCAGTTTTGTCATCACTGTCCTCTTCTTCAAAAGCAGTTCCAGTAGCTTTTCGTTGTTTTCGAGATTTGAAGGGGTCATCGATGGTCACTGTTGTGGCACCTTGATTATTTTCTGTGAATCCTTGACCATCTTCAAATTCTAGCACAACAGATTTTTTTTTTTCAAAGAGCAAAAAGCAGATTCCACAATGTATATATATATTATATTTTTTTATTATTGAAAGGAACAGTTGTTTAAATATAGGGAGTAAAAAAAAATTCATTCGAAACCACTATGACTTTTTTATGACTGTAACAGAATTTTCATTTTTGGGTGATCTATTCCTTTCAAATAAGTTGTTAAATCTGAGAGGACTCACCTTGAAACTGCAAATGAATATCAGTATTGGCCATCACAGATCTCTGTGTTCTGTGAATGAAGGCATCAACAGAAGACAGATAAGCAGACAAACTTTAGTTAAAGCTATTGATATTGCAGATTGTTAAAGGTATAGCTCACTCAAAAATTAAAATCACTAATCCTCATCACTAATCATATTGTTCCAAATTTGTGTGGAACACAGAAAGATATATTAGGCAAAATGTGGGGGACTGATAGATTCAGTCACCGTTCAGATGTACTGTATCTTCCTCCCATACAATGAATGTGAAAAATGACTGAGGCTGTCAATCATCCTAAGTTTCTTTTGAGTTCCACGGAAGAAAGTAATGGTTGAGTAAATGATGACAAAAGTTTAGTTATTGGGTGAACTATCCTTTTAAGCATTAAGTTTAACCAACCATGGCTGACCTACCACAGCAGCTGAAGTGTCTGATCCCATGTATAGCAGGAGGGGCGCTGTACACCTGTTGACATTCAGACGTGTGCGGATATCATACATCAAACAGAAAAATGCAGTTACAACGTAGCAAATTGTGTTGTCTTAAGAATATGCAGTCTCTCAGACGATTTCACATAAATGTTTTATAGCAAAACATGACCTCTAATGTTTTCGTCGTGTTAATCAACTCGCCAGTAAAAGCTTCTCGAATGTTTCGGGATCTTAAACGTTGTTTCGAAGGTGTGCAAAATTGGAAAACGCGGAAATAAGCAATGATAGTGATGCGAAGCAAAATAAAAGTCTTAACTTGTCCACAAATCAAGTTTCAAGCCCTTCAAATAATTTTTTTTAAACCTGGTGTTTTTCACCTTGTGGTTCAAATATGCAGTAAATAGTAGGTAGGTAGGTAAATAAATAAATACAATTATTAGAATTAAATAATAATAAAAGCACTGAGACCAATTTAAAAATGAAAAACGAAAAAATGAATAACTAATATGGTGAAATAAAAATATGGGGGACAACGAGTAAAATACACAAGAGTTATAGCACAGGTAAAAGTTTTTAATACTACAGTTATCTGCAAAGTACGGACATTTTAGTGTAAAGATTTCAATGAAGACTTTTATTTTGGAATGTGCGGAGGAGGGATGTTCCTCCAAGAGCCCGTCGTTTTTAAATCTGTCTACATTTGACAAAAATTCTCTATATTTCCGTCAGTATATCCTTGATTTTCAAACGACACCCGAATATTTCGGACACTAACCGCTTGGTTTGTGTAGAGAGCTGGTGAGGATGTATGTAAGTGAGGACTGTGGAGCTGTGTATGTCAGAGAGAAAGGAGAGCTGCGGTATGTCAGTGCAGACAGCATTGATGCTCCGCAGCACAGACTCTTCACCAGAGACTTCTCCTTTCAACTCTGCACCGACACTTTACCATCCGCGAGCCACACAAACAGAAGAGACCACTTCATATTTACCTACAACAAAGAGGGGAGTCTGCGGTACACGGTGAAGGCTTTATTTGACATTTCTTTACAGTTCATCGCTGGTCATATCGAGCGTGTGGACTCATTGGTCGGTTTTCCTGAGCAAATGGCTGATAAGTTATTTTCGGCCGCTGAAGAGAGACACAAATTCACTGAGCCTCAGACTGCACCCAGAGCACTGCAGGTCTTCTGTGAGGCCTATGGAGAACTAGTGCTGAGATCCCTGTGTTTGAGAAACAGGTGGGAAGTAAACACAACTTATGTGTTTACTCAAAACCTACTAGTGATCTGCCTAAGTAGACGTTTAAATGCTGCCTAGGTAGGCCATTTTACCCGGTATAATTTAGGAATGAGAGCATTTCCATCAGTGTTATTGTCTTTGCAGGTATCTTTTGATATCTGGAAGGTTGGAAGAAATCTGACAGTTTCAGAGACTGGAGTGCCTGGACCTCTATGGATGTAGATTAGGTGACAATCATGAGATTTTTAAATACATAACCTCTGAAGCCCTGGCTAGGTACGGACACATCATTCTGTACATTGTATATTATTAACATAATGTTTAACAATTAACATTTCAGATGGTTTATTGGGTGTACATTAGGTTTGTTTTACTTTGTGATAAAGAGTGAATTCACTTTCTTTTTCCTCCTCACATTTCCCTTTTTTCTGTAGTATTGTGAAACTTTTCATTGGTGCAAACTGCCTTTCTGATGCAGGCCTGCAGAGACTGACTGCGCCGGTGAGGGTGATGAAGAAAGGTCTAGAAAACCTGCAGCTTTTGGAACTCTCTGGTAAGTTTACGTGTTAGTATAATTAGATAAACTACTACTCAAAAGTTTGGGGTCAGTATATTAATTTTTTTTATTTAGCAAGGATGCATTAAAATGTTTAAAAGTGACTGTTATAATGTTTCAAAGATTTCAATTTAAAGGGGTCATATGATGTTGCTAAAAAGAACATTATTTTGTGTATTTGGTGTAATGAAATGTTTATGCGATTTAAAGTAAAAAAAACACATTATTTTCTACATACTGTACATTATTGTTTCTCCTCTATGCCCCGCCTTTTTGAAACGCGTTGATTTTTACGAAGCTCAGTCCTCCATAAAATTTGCTGCACACAAATTAATATTTGGGTTGAACTGTTCTGGAACAGTGTTGTAAATACAACTTAATCACTGATTTCTAGTCGTGTCCTCTTTTGGAAGACCAAACAAAGTAGTTTCGCTTTCACAATGAAACACACGGCGGCCTAGCGTGAGCTAAGTCCGGGCTAGAGTGAGCAGAGGCGGCGGGCTTGAGAACGGTGCGGCCGGCGGATTCGACGAAGGTGCGGCAATCACATGTGACGCCCCCGGACTGGACTCCGCTTCGTCCACGGTGAAAGCCGATCCGGCGATCCACAGCACTAAGTTGATGTATTCCCTCAGCGACCAGCACAGATCAGCTCCAGGCATGACGAAGCAGATATCGTCCTCTTTTGGAAGACCAGACAAAGTAGTTTCGCTTTCACAACGAAACACAGCTCTTCAGGACATGGCGGCAGCAACAATACAACAGCGAGAATAAAACTTGCGCCTTCTTTCTTTGCGTGAACATTTAGGCAGCGTTATGCAAATCTTCCCACATAGTGAGGTAGATATGTGGGGGCGTGTTAGAACGAGCCGTTTTAGGTAGGCGTGGCTGACTCTTAACTTTTATAAAGAATATCTCTTTGGATTTGAGACTTTAGTCTTTGCAACTTTACAGATCTTCTTTATGCACCAAGAGCTTGTAACACTTCAAAGAGAATGGAAAAATTGAAATCGCATCATATGACCCCTTTAAAATAAATGCTGTTCCTTTGATATTTCTATTTATCAAGGAATCTTGAAAAAAATAAAATCATGGTTTTCACAAAAATATTAAGCAGCACAACTGTTTTCAACATGGATAATAATGTTTCTTGAGCACCAAATTAGCATATTAGTTTGATTTCTGTCGGCTCAAGACTTGGAGTAACGATGCTGAATATTCTGCTCTTCCAACACATGAATAAAATACATTTAAAATATATTCAAATAGAAAATGGTTATTGTAATTTATAAAAATATTTTACATATTACTATTTTACTGTGTTTTTTAATCAATTAAATGCAGCCATGGTGAGCATTTGTGACTTCTTTCAAAAACAAAAAAATTTACTAACCTCAAAACTTTTGAACAGTAGTGTATCTCATTACATAAATACTTTCAGGTCAGGTGCTTTTTATCCATAACCATGTTGAATGTGATGTTTATGCTAATTTACACCCTTGTACTTCGGTTTATTTTTTTAACAGAGAATCCCATCACTGAAAAAGGTCTTGATATCTAACATGCTTTAAAATGCTACAGAAACTGGACATATCTGGGACAAATGTGACGGTAACACAATTAAAATGGTAACATCAATGGGTATCATTAACTTTGTATAGGCTGCTTAAGTTTTTATGGAGGTCTTGTATAATATAAAAAAATATTTTTTTAGGTGAATGTGTCTTTGAAAGGATTCTTCAGAAAGATGAGAATGGTCTTATCAGAGACACCTTTGAAGGAGTTTGGACACTCTGATTGTAAAACAGAAGGCTGGGCTGATCAGGTAACATAAGATTTTATGGTATCCATGATGGAGAGGTAATGTTGATGTCGTAAAGGTTTTATACTGTGGCCTCTCTGTATAAAATTCTCTCACTATTCAAATATTAATCAGGTAATAAACCAATGGGAAATTACAGCTTCAGAAGTACCAAAGAAAGACTACAAACCAAGAACAAATGCTCTCCGTTTCTGTGAGTTTATTCAATTGATCTACATGTTCACTTTATCACAAAATATTATATTTTTTATTGTTGTAATTTTGATTATTCCCATTTTGTTTTTTAGATGGAAGAGAAAAGTTTGTCCGAGAGACATTAAACTCCTGGTCTGGGACGAGTGACACCACAAAGAAAGAAAAAGTTGTGGCGATTCACTTTCATAAGATTGATCTCTGTGGCACGAGTTCAGCAGCAGAACACAACACACATTCATCAACAGTGGCAGCTGTTCAGAAGGGTAAGAAGAGGAGACTATCAACAGAGGAAGAGCAAAGTTCAGCTCGGTCTAAGCATCAGTCTCTGTCTGCAGAAGACTTAGATCTGTTAAATAGTTATTGAGTCGACAAAGACAGGTGACATGTTTGCAGTGCATTCCTCTGTGAGGAGCGTTACACTGCAATACTTTTAGTTTGGATTCTTCACAATTAAAAACAAATACACTGGCTGGCAAACATGGACGTAATCATTGAGTAATTCACTTAAGGCTGGAACAGATTTTAAAACATCAAGCATCATACACCTACCAAATGGTTACAGAAATGACTCAAAATGACTGAGGATCAACTACCAGACTTTCAAGTCATTGTGGATGCAACAAAATGCAGAAACGTGTGCCTCAGGTAGACTAACCTTTTGTTTCGGTTCTCTCTAATGTTGGGATATCAGACTGTCTTAGTTTGAAAAGTAACAATCATTATCAATTTATATTGGTTTAAATATAAAATATGTATTCCTCAAACAATACAGAAGAATAAATAATATTTCTAATTCAATTAATTGTCTTTAAAGACCTATGTAGCCTAATTTCCTTACATGAGGTGTCCTGTTGGGTTTCACATCTAAATTATTTATTTTAAAATATGTCAATATGCAATTCTTACATCTGGTATTCATAAACATGGTCTTTAGAAGCCTATATAAATGGTCAGAAGATGGCAACTTGCCAACAACATCAGCACTTCTATCAGCACATTATATCTTTGTTGTCAGTGTTGACATGCCCACACAGACAGATCTGTGAAGGTTGAACTAGTCCAAACTAATGACAAAATACACACTAAAACAGTGCACAACAACAGATCTGATTTTCATCTATCTTTTTAAATATATAGAAAACATAACACGAGGACAGAACACTTTTTAGTAGGTTTGTTTATTAACAATATGATGACAAATCTGAGAAGTCGCAAAATATCTTCATTTACAATGCCTTTTACTGGCTTTACAACTGTCTCTAATATGGCACTTCAAGAAATTTTCATCCACTGCAGCAGAGATATCTTGTACTAAAGCATAATCAAAAAGTTAATGTTTCATTGTGCAACACATGTTGTACCTCAAATCACAAGCGGTTATGGATCACACCGAGAACACTCAAAAACAAATAAGAGAAACAAAAAGACTTCATCTCTACAAATGGGCAGTAAACAGAAAAA